AAGCAGCACAGTTTTGTTTTCTTCCATTTTTCTTCCTGTGTAGTACTTAGACCTTAGCTGTACAAGGTGACTCTGAGTGAATTACATCACCCCTAAATTGAGATTTATAGAACTGGAAGTTCTGACTTCTGGTCTTATATTGTTTTTCTGAGGGTTTTTTTTTTTTGTTTTGTTGGTTTGGTTTGGTTTGGTTTGGTTTAGTTTTGGTTTTGGGTTTTTGTTTTGTTTGTTTGTGTTTTTTGTTTTGTTTTGTTTTGTTTTTTTGTTTAAGTGTTGAATACCAAAGAAGCATAGGGCTAATCTGGACCTCGATATATTCTGTGATTTCTCCCCCAGTGCAAGGCCAGACAGCCTGTATTTATGACCACTCACAGATGTTTTCCTGCTTATTCTTAGATATCTTCAAGAATGAATGCACTGTAGTCTGATGCACTCTTGACTTGTACTATGGCAAAAATGACACTTTTCTTAATTTTCTTAACCCTTGAGTCTCTGGGGATAAAATGTAATCCCCCCCCTTCTTTTATTCATCCCACATCTTGAGAATACATTTCCTTTTCTTTCTGCAACACCCTTCCATTTAATATTCTGTAAGAATAATCACCATTTTCACTCTTCTGCAGTTTTTCTGTTATTATTCCTCCATAGATGAACAATTCCCAGGCAGCTCTGAGGCTTCCCAAGTTTTCCTCAGGTTTTTTTATATCTTAGCCTGAGTTAAAACTTACCTGATGTGATGGGATGACCTTGGCTGGATGCCACGTGCCCACCAAGCTGCTCTATCACTCTCCCTTCTCAGCTGGACAGGGGAGAGAAAATAAGATGGAAAACAGCTCATAGGTTGAGATCACCTAAAATTGCTACTTTATTATGTTTTACCTTCTGAATTTTAGTGTATTAAATAGTTTTAAATACTTCATTCTTCTCAGTACTGTCTGTCAACTGCTCCTTATTGGCTTAGTGGACAAGCATTCTCTTAAAATTCCTCAAGCTACTACTGTACTCGATATGACATGAGGTGTTGCTTGATAAGAGCTCCTTTACATCCTCCAGGATAACAAGAACATTATTTTTCCTAACGAAAACTAAACCAATAATGTATTTGGGAGCCAAGCTTAAAAATACCAAATATATCAATATTAATGAAAAAAAAGACATAATTTGCAATTTTTATACATGACGTAGAAATGTAGCTAAATATATGTAGACCAACTTAATATCTGGGAAATAATTCTGTAGCTGGCACATTATTTGCTTATTGTTCTTCATCCAGTAATGGATCACGGTGTCAAATTACTCTGCTTAGGAAATCTGTGTGGTGTGTCAATTTTGGAAATGTGGTGGGATTCAATTCCCCTAAATAAGATTTACATGGAAGGAGAGGTGGGCTCTGATATTTTTCATTCATTTTTAGGCATTGACATGCAGGACAGAATCCTAAAAGATGAGAATTGAAGTGCCATCCTTCGCCGCCAAGCATAAGGGTTTATCTGAGGAATGAGGGTGTATCTGAGGCTACAACAAATGAAACATTGGTTAAATTTTATTATTGCCTAGTAGGGCTTGGGTGTCAATTTAATAATGAGGTAATGAAGCAAACAGAAACTACCAGTAATGTCTGTGAGGGAGAAGTTGTACAGCCATCTAATTTTCTCATTAGTGATGCAATTCCTCTTGTCTTTGACTGAGTAATTTTTGCTTCAGCTGAGGGGTGTGCCTCTACATGCACATGTGGTTAGGCTGGAAAGAGAGCAAATACATCATTAACAACCCGAATAGAGAGGATCATTCTTGGCAGTAATTTGTGAAGTGACCAATTCTTGTGAGTGTCGCCTGCTTGTATAAGATGATTTTATGTAGTAGTTAGAATACTAAGAATTAACTGGTTTTCATTTCATTTTTTTTATAAGTCTCACATGAGACAGTGATCAAAATAAAGTTATACTTATATACATACATAATGTAATATTTAAAATATATAATATATAATAGAGTTATAGTCCTACCATTTTCAAAACCTTTGTGGTTAAGGCAAAAAGATATTAAAAAATGAAGTTTCAGCTCTTGCTTTTTTCCCCCTGGTTTTTTATGAAGCAGAATAGATAGATGGTTTATATTTATTTTTTTGTTTCTTCTTTTTACAGCACTGGAGAGATGTCCATATCTTCAAAGCAGTAGTGTTCTCTCTCACAAACTATCAATGCAAGCTTTGTGAATTGATTTTGTGAATGTGGCATTGAAAAAAAAAAAGCTCATAATTGTCTAGTTCAGTGGGTGTTTTATTGAAATTGAAGTTATAGTTTGGATATCATGTATGTGGCATTAAATTGTGTGTTTTGAAATGCAGTAATCATAAAACCAGTTATAGTTGCTGATTTCCATTTGTCTTTCAGGAGGACAGAGAAGGGCTCTGATGGGCAAGGTGCTGTACAAACACACAGCACCTGCTCAGATATCATCACAGAACCACAGGCTGAATGGATTTCAATAGATCAGAGTTTACTGTGCTGCCCCAAGGCAAGATTAACCATCCCTGCCTTATTCCTGGAAGATGTTTGTCCAACTCATTCTTGAAGGCCCCCAAGGATGAGCACTCTACAGCTTTCCCAGGGCAATTTAATCTAGTGCTTTCCTACCCTTCCTGTTAGAGAACTTCTTTCCATCATGCTTCATATAAATTTCTCTTCTTGCAGTTTAAGCTCTTTGTTCCTTTCCCTAACCACCACAAATATTGGAAAAGAGATTATTTGCTCTGTCTTGCAGCAGTCTTGAGCGCTGTTATTTCAGCTCTCCCTTCCTCAGTCTCATTTTTCTTTCTGGCTGGATGACAGCATTTAAATTAGGCCCTTCTTGTGTCTCTGCCGTTCTGGGCCCTTCCTCTCCTGTCTTTCTCAGAAGTCTTCCTAGTGGTTTTCCTTCCCTGCCGTGCACCCAAGGTGGGATGCTGTTCTCTAGCCAGTGTGCCACCAGCAGATGAAGGCCTGTGGGGTGCCTGCACTCCTGACAGTGTTCCAGTGAGGTGTTTGCTTTTTTCATAACCCATCACACGGCTGACTCGTGCTCAGCTGGAGGTCCATCGCAACCACCGAGACCTATTACGAAAAATAACAGGTCTAACCCTGACTAATCACTCCCAATTTTGAATTTGCGTTGCTGATTAATCCTACCTACTTTTTGTTTTGCCAAGAGAGGCTTAGGGCGTGTTTGACAGCTAACAGAGGGTTGAGGTGGGGAAGAATAAACTTGCTTAGACAAGATCATGCAAGTAGTTTGGGGAAGAAGCAGGAAGCTTTTCTGACTGACCTCCAGAGGCCTCATCTGCAGAGCCTCCTCCCTGACTTTAGTGGAAAATCATAGGATTGAACACTGAAAACATGGCAGGTTCTCTGTCTGACTCATTTTCACTGGTTTTGTGGACCTCACTAATGAGACCCGACAAGGCGAGTGTTTGCCAGCCCTCTATGAGAATTTCCTGCGTGTTTGCTCTCCACATGGCATTGTTTATAACTGCCCTCTGAAACAACAACAGAAAAATAAAGTTGTTCCTTTTGCAACGTGCAAATGCTGTGGGAATTAGTTGCTTTGCAGGCAGACAGACCACCAGCCTGTGGGACAGCAGAGCTTTGTATTTCATCTTCTCCCGAGTTTAACAGTCATTCCACTCTGCTTTTGTTAATGACAAAAACAGACAGGCATGTAGAGCCAGCCCTTGGCATTCATCATGCTCCTCTCCAGCTACACGTGAAGGAGGAGAGAGGAAACATGGGAATACCAAAAAAAAATTGCTAAACTAACTCAAGGCTGGTTGGGCCCAGGGTTTTCCAGCGGAATTTCCCCAAATGATATTTCAGATGGTTGTTGTCAAGCACTTCATAACTGGCTGTTTCACTGGTTTGTCTAACGGGAACAAAATCCTTTAGGGAATCTGAGCAGATATCTGAATGTGAGTTGCTAAGTGCTTAAAATGAGAGCTGCAAACAAGGAAAAGGAGTAGGTAATAAGTAAGAAAATTGGTGTGACGGTGGGTGAGGTGGACATAAAGCAGAAATACAGTCTGCTGGGTGGGACCCATCAGCATGTACAATTTTATTGTCTGTGGTGGTGTGGTTTAAAATGTTTAGCTGGACTCTGATGCTGGTGATTAGAAACAAGCTGGTTGTTACTAGAAGAGACAAATACACACTATTATATCCTCTTCTGGTTTCTAAATGGCACCCATCATTGTGGTTACCAACTTCTTTCAACATTTAGAATATATTTTGAAGCGTTTTCTAGCTTTATCTGTACAGTTACAAGTGGTTTCAGTTATACCTTCTGCTGTTGTCTTCTCCCAGAATACAGGTGTGCTGGGTTTACAGGATTTTATTTGGTTTCTGATCTAGAGAATATCTTCTCTTGCAAGTAAACCATTAATTTAAATGTTGCCAGGGTTACATATGACCTTTGGGGTAGATGTGCTTGGGGTTAGAGTGCAAGTGCAAGTGACCACACAGGTACTTTGCAGTTTCATTTCTTCCAAACGTTGAGATGGAGCTCAGACTTGGCTTTTTGGGGGCTAAAAAACATCCCTGGTGTATTACATGCAGTTGGGTAAACGAGCAGATCTATTCCACTACTAGAAGGATGAATCTTGATATTGTTTCATCCTTCCATTAAAAAAATAACACATGTTCGTGCTGTATTTATCACACTGACAGATGAGGAAGCACTCTAGGACCTAAATCTGCTTTAAATAGTCAACTGGAAGTTACTAATTAGGACCTGGAGTAAGAGATCCTATCAAAGGAAAATGCTTTATGAGGTGGACATCTGGGATAGGTGGGACATAAAAAGGAGGGAGGGAACTTAGTAATTTGGGAAAGGCTTTTCTCCTGGGAGCTGAATAAGTCAACAAAGTAATACTCTCGTGTAAAGGATGGAGCACAATGCTGAATACCAAAATGCACAGGAAAGAATGTAGCCTGCTCATTGATATAAACAGTAATTTTCTTGCTATTTTCAGTACTGGAAAAGCCTCAGCTGGACTCCTCTGGCACTGCAGTTCAAGAGGACGTGGAGCAGCTGGAAAGAGCGCAAAGAGAAGCATCAAGAGTGATTAGAGGTCTCAGATGTGACCAAGGAGGTAAGAGCTAATCAAGTTACGTGGTTCAGCTTCTAGAAGAGAAGACTTTGGGCAATGCAGGAATAATCCTCGAGCACACAGGAAGTAGAACTGAGCTGTGAAAAGGACAGAAATAGTCTTTGTTAAAAGCCTATATTTTATTTAATAGGAAGTTCTGGTCTTATACTAGAGGAAGAAAGAAGGTTAAACAATAGGGAGAACAGTGAGGATAATGAAATATTGGAGTTTTTGACTTCAGGGTAAATTATGTTAGGCAATTATCTGTCACAAATGATCATTACAGATGATCCTACCTAGGGCAGGGAGAGCAGCTGGATGACTTCTTGAGGTATTTTCTTTCCATGATTTCATGTTGAGGTTGTGCTCAGTAATGCATGTTTGGATCTGATCCGTTAGTCTAGTCTGAGGGTCACATTTCAGGACAGGATTTTAAAAAGAGCTTTGAAAAATTTTGGTGGCATTTAGGTGCCTACCTGCCTTTTTATCCTTTGGAAAATCCCAGCCTGTAAAAGTACTTTTCATCCAGACAAAGTTAGATAATTTTCTGTATGTTGATATTTAAATCCGCTGGCTAAATCAGCATTTCCCTGAAATGTTTCTGCTTGCTCCAACGTGCTCTTGTATGTTAACTTATTATTTTTCTGGATGAATCATGATGAGAACATTCAACATATCGAGCTGGGTATAAAAATGTGCAGTCAGAATGTGAGCTAATCAACAGCAGCTTTTATATTTCTTCATGCAAAAAGGACAATTTCCAGATCTCCCAACTGGCTCTGGGTAACCTAAATATCTGAGCGAACAATAAACTGGCCCAATCAGCAGACAGCCCCATGGGAAGCAGAGATTTGGCAAAGACTGACTGATCTAGCATGAAAACAGATTTTTAAATGAACAAAGTAAAGAACATTGTGAAATTCTGTTGGTTCTTTCTTATGAGCTGTGCATAGTGCCTGTCCTTTTTACTTCATCCGTGCTCTCAAGACAAAATGTTGGGACTTTCGTGGTGAAAATATTTTCAGAAATGCTGTGATCGTGAAGGATTTTCCTCACTCAAAACTTGCAGTTAAATATCCTTCTTGATGAGCACTTCTCTCTCTGTTCTGCTGGGCACACAAACTAAATGAGGTTAGGCTGTGTGTGGGTTCTGGTGTCTTGACTTCTCTGGATGTTTGCCTAAATCAAGCTGTAAGCAATTGAAAAGAAAGCATCTGTCTTCTTGAAGCAGAGTGTGCCTTCATCTGCTTCTTGACTCCCAGTCTTTCAGAATATAGCTCTTTTCTGCTTTTCTTTGGGTGTCTTCCAGCCCTACTGTATTTTCCATTTCACCTCCTTCAGCAGTGTGACTGAGCACCTCTTGAGGATTAGTCTGTGACACGGTCAGTTCATTTGAGTTGATAATTTCTGGGAGTTCTACAGCTGGACTCATATTTTTCAGTTTCCTTTTATCCTGTTTTTTTTCCCCCATTGGAATGGCTCAAGGAAGTGAACACAAACTAAAATCTACATGTTGTTTTACTTGGAAGGCTTAATGGGAGATATTGATCTATGTGTCTGCTCTGTTTTTACAATAAGAAAGTTATTCTGAGTTCTGTGCAGAACTTCCCTTATGTATGCAAAGCTGAAGATACTGGGCAATTACTATTTTAAGTAGAAAGCAATATGTTCTGAGCAGTTCTGAAACATCACATAGATGAGCTTTCCTCTTTCTGCCATCCAGATTCTCTTTTAGTGAAGGAATTATCTTGATGGTCATCACTCATGTTCTTAAGATGCATTTCCTCCCAGAAGCTACTTTTATATTCTGTTTTAGGCTTTCTGGCATGTTAAAAACACACAGTGCTGCGTAGAGTGGTGCAGCCTTTGTGATTTTTACTGTGATTAAACTTGGCAAGATTGACATACAGGATTGACAACAGCCCTGTGTGTGCTGACTGAGCTCTGGGCAGTGGTGTGGCTGTTTGCTAACTCAGTGCTGCAACCAGGGAAACTGCAACCTTCCTTCTTTTGATCAGGAGTTAAGTGTGTTTTCCTTGTCCATATCTATAAATCTGATCATTTTAAGTATTGTTTCTCGTGTTTCTTAATCAATCAGGTACGTGCTGTATTCTTACCCTGAATGAAAATTTACCAACTGCTTTTGGGTTTGGGTCTGGAAAGGCACTCAGAGGGCTTGGCTTTTCCTGTTACAGCTAATGAAGAAAGGTCCTGCCTATTTAAAGTCAACATTAAATGCTTATTGACTTGAATATATCAAGAAAGTTTGTGTATTAAAGGACTTTCCAGGCTGTTCAGAGCCAGAAGTGGTTGGCTTTTAATGTCGGCTGCTGTGAGGTAGACTGAGCAATGTGTGAAATATGGTTTATTTGTTCTTCCAGAAAGGGCTCAAAATAGCAATTTGTGTTTTGGATGTGAAGTGTGAAGAGGTTATCTGGCTGACCTGGAATCACACAGGGTGTCTGCAGCAGGGCTACAAAACAGTTCTCTGTCTTTCCGTGTGATGCTGCAGTCAAGGATGTATGAAACAGCAGTGAACCCTGAAGTGACCTCTGTTACAAACCTAAATTCTTATGTACCTTTATCTTTTTCTGAGTTTTTGTAGGCTACTCTCACCATACTCAGGGGGTATTTTTTTTTCATAGGAATCCATACACTAAAAAAACAATGCATTTAACTTTGAATGATTATTAAATGCAGAAATCCAGACTTCTGAACCTTGGGTATAAATGGTATCAAAGCGAATATATTCAACAAGAACTTGACCACCTTTTCCCTCAGTTTGTTGTCAGAAAAGTGTAAAACTAAAAGAGAGGCCTCCTGTAACTCCCCTATGACCAGTCTTGCAAGGATGCAACCACAGCAGGGACCGACTGAGGTGCGAGCCCTGGGATTGTCTGTGACAGAGTTATCAGATTCTGTTTTTCTTCATTAACCTTTGATCTCCAAATTCCTGTGCTGTAAGTCCAGCTGTGGCAAGGCAACATTGTTTGATAACACAAGGAAATCCAAGGGAAGTTGAAACTGCACTCTCAGTTGTCATCACCTTGTTTGCCAAAGGTGTGTGGTGATGGTCAAGGGGCAGGCGTTGAAAACACGATGAGGATTTTTTTTTTCCCCAAGGAAAAGCTAAGCATGAGAATAAGGGGAATGTGTCTGAAGATCAATTTTGCTTTGCATATGTTAGCAGACCATTAGAGAGAGTGGAAGTTGGAAATCAGAGTCTTTGGCTGTCCAGATACCTGAAGAAGTGTAAGATTTACTATTTTCTGACCTATACTTTCAGTAAGACGTATTTTGTGGGTGAATTCAGACTTTTTTTGTTGGTTTTGTTAGGGAATGCAATATTGAAATACACACCACATTGTTGTTATAGTAAGACAACAAAGGAGCAGCAACTCTTTTACAAATCTCAGTTATTCAACAGTGGCATCTTTGTAGCTTTCTCTCCTTCCCCTCTATCTACCCCCCTTCCCCTTCATGCTTGGGTGACTGGTAACTGTACATTACCAGTACATCCCATCTTCATGGGAAGAGCTGGATGGGGCAAGTCCACTTAGTTTACTGCCCACCAGGACAACTGTCTCGGGTCAGGGAGTCCCCAGACAGGATGGAACAAACGTGGCACCTCTTGGTCATTTTTTGTGGACAGGGGGGATGTGTCTAGTACTCCACTGATTTCAGGTAATTTTAGAGTCCCCTTAGGCTCTATGACACATGGTGTAGAGCAGATCAGTCTGTGAACTGCCCTTTTTCATGCTGGCTGCAGGATCAGTGGTCTGAAAGCAACCAAGACTTGGAATCGCAGTTGAACTCCAATATTTGGGTCTTTGGGAGGTACTGTCTTCTGATTTTTATAAGCTTTGTTTCATAATTCCCATTCCTCCAACCTGAGTGAGGTGAGAACACAGACCTGAGTAATCTGTTTTCCAGAAATGTTCTGAAGCGTTAAGGACAGCAGTAATATTTTCCAGAAAGTGTCAATACTCTGCAGTGGCTGTTTCGGAGAGGATGTGCCAATCTCGAGAACTCCTTTCATGTTACTGCTCTTTCATCAAAGCTTCTCATTATCCAACAATTCTGATCAGCACACCATCAACTTTATTTTCTTCTCTTTAAATGGCATTGCATTTGGTCCTGGAATTAATGTACAGTGCCACTAAAGCTCTCCTAATTTCAAAAAAGCAGCTCTCATTTTTGGATGAAGATGTTCTTACAGTTATGTCAAGTCCTGTAAACATCTGTACAGCAATCACAAAATCAGGGAGATTTGAGAGATCAGATTAAACCCCAGAAGCTGCAGTTAAAACTCGCTGACATTGAGGGGAGGGTCTCTAGCGGTCCATTATTCTCTGCATCTGCCCTTTTATGCTTGGAGTTTGGAGTTTGCTGAGTGGTGTGCGCTGGATTTCAGGAATGAACAGCATTCAGGAATGACAGCCCAAGCACCTTGCCCCTTATCTCACGTGTTTGTCCCTTATCACTGTGTCAATTGTCAGCACTGCTAGTCTGGCTCATGTTTTAGATGGCCTCTAGACCTCTGGCTCTTTGAGTTGACACACGGGCAAATATGATGCCTCTGGTAGAGTTTTGCACACTTGGGATCTGGGAGAGAAGAAAATCGTAGGGTCTGGATGCAAGGTAGAGAAATTAGTTTATTTATTTTCTTTTCTTCATCAAAAGTTCTTTTTACTCTATGTGAAAATGAATGAAAGTATATATTTAAGCTTCAGCTCTGGACAAACCTGCTCAAGAAACCTCTAGTGAAGATTTCATGAAAGTAAGTGGATGAGCTTGTTTTCTCTTCATGTTTCTTTGGCACTGAACTAATTTCTGGATTTTTATTTCTCTGGGTGGGGTCTGAAAATTCCCTTGAATTGGAGGTGAAGGTGTGACATTGCCTTTCAAGTGTAACCAAATCTGCACCTCTGAGGCAGCATGCTCTCCTCCAAGTCAAAAGGAATGCATCATTTAACAACTGCTGGTTTTTTCCTTTACCAGCTGCTACACCTTGGGTGAAGAGTTTCAGTATTTTGTTCCATATTGCTCAGACAAATTCTTATATTTGGTCAAGTTCCTGTGTTGGAGTGAACTGTGTTCCATTCAAACATGTCAGTTTGTGTGACAGTGTTTGAAAATGAATACTTTAAAGATATTTCTGACTGTTTTGAGGCATGCAGCATTCAGGTCTGTTGAGGGTATTGTATCACTGACAGTTGTCTTTCAGGGCTATAAAATATTTCAGTGATGCTACTGCATGGAGAGGTGGGAAATAGTTGTGTTTTGGAATGATACAGCAAGACAGATCTGATTTTAAGTGATAATTTTAAAACAATTTCTCAGTGATAGCTGTAGAGGATATCTTCTGCTTGGGCATGGTGCTATCTAATGTGCCAAAGCTTTTCTGCTGCTTTTCTTGTTTGAAAATGGACATTAAAAAGCATGGTATGGCTGAAGTTCTCTTTGTAATACGCTGTGAAACATGGCAAGGTTTTTGTGGGTTTGGTGGTGGTTTTTTTGCTTATTTGAGTTTTTTTTTTGTTCCCCCCTGCCCTCCCCAACTTTTTATTATTCCATGATTCTCACCTGTTAGAACTAGTCATTTAGAGAAAGGAAATTGCTCAAAAATACAACTTAAACTGAAACTTTAAATGAGCCAATTTCAGTGTTGAGAAAACGAATCTTGAAATATTTACTCTTCTTGAAAACCAAGCAGACAAAACCACCACCCAAGTGAATTTAGAGACGGAATTTAGCTCTTTATTTATTTATTTATTTATGTTAAAGCACTTCTTTTTCCCCAAAATACTCCATGGGAGAGTCAGTTGATTGTTATTGCTTCAGGGAACTTAAGGTAAAAACACTGAGGTTGTTTTAACGATCTTGTTGTTTAAATATAGACAACAGAGCCATATATTTTTGCATACTGTCCCAAGGAAGTTTTGGTGTATTGTGAAGAGCAAGGTTATTGCAATTAATTTCATTGGAATTCTGCTTTATTACAACAGTTGTTTGAGACTATGTTTAGCCAAGCAGGAACCATCATAAATTTTAATAAAGCTTAATTAAACTCCATTATGTTTGTTTCTCCTTGGTGTATTAATTTTTCCAACAGATAGCATATATAGATAAATATAAAAATATTTATGCTGTATCTATATATAGACATGCAGATGTATCAGCAGACATAATTTAAATTTCTGGAAGATTTCTGGTAAATAATTAACAACACATGAAAGCTGCAATGTGTAATTATTACCACCCGGGTAAAAACATAAGAAATGTTACTGAAAGCTACTGGACAGGTTGTTCTATGCTGTAGTAACCTTATATATGCAGTTTTGTTCTCTGATGACAGCTGCATAGCATATATATATATATAACACATATCACTGCCCATACTGCTGACTGCTGTGTCCTTTTCTGATGATAAATTACCTAAAGGTAGAAGTGGTTGCAGAGATCCAAATGGCACCTCAGGTTTAAGCTCTGAATGGACACTTCAGCAGCAAGTCTGAACCTCTTTAAGCCTCAACTCCTTTCTTTTTTTAAAAAAACACATGCAATATAAGAAGCAGAAAAGTCCATTTAAAGAAAACACAGCAACAGAAAACTCTCCCAGGATGATGAATACTGTTAGAGAGGGTTGTCATATGATGGCAACATTATTTTCCAGTTATCTTCAATAACAAGTGTGAAGGTAGAACAACATGTGCCTTTCTGTAGCAACTCTGCTGCTTGCAAACTGCCCTTACAACAGGGGAGTTTGTAAGGGCAATGAATGCCCTCCAGTGGCAGAAAATAGGGCTGGATCGTTGTTTTCCATAGTTGTTATGGAATTGGTGATCACAGTTCAAGTTCAATCTGTAGATTGAACCATTAGGGTCTCTTGACTTGCAGTGCACAAAAGCCCACAGCAAAGAGATTTTTGTTATGCCATCTTTTTAGCTTGTTTTGATGCACCCAGTGCCCAGTCTGCTCTCTCAGTATTGGGCCAGCAGCCTGGAAGTTGAAAACTGGCCCAGCATATTTTCACTCTGAGCTGCCACGGAGTTTAAACATTTGGAAACTACATTGCCATGTGCATCTTTAAACCAAAATTAAGTGCTTTTTTTTTTTTTTTTCCTTTCTTTTTTTGCCATGTGAAGCTCAGTCTTCACAAAAACAAGCTTGCAGATGACACAGAACTGGGAGGAGCTGTTGACTTCTTCAAAGACAGGGAGGCCCTGCAGAGAGACGTGGACAAATGAGAGGGCTGGGCAATCACCAGCTGTGTGAAGTTCAACAAGGGAAGTGCCGGATTCTGCACCTGGGATGGGACAACCCTGGAGGTACAGACAGACTGGGGACTGAGATGCTGGAAAGCAGTGCCGTGGAAAGGGACCTGGCGGTCCTGGTCAGTGGTAAGTTGAACATGAATCAACACTGCCCTGGCAGCCAGGAGGGCCAACCTTGTCCAGGGGGGCATCAGGCAAAGCATCACCAGCCAGTCAAGGGAGGGGATTGTCCTGCTCTGCTCTGACCTGCGGGGGCCTCACCTTGGATATTGTGGCAGTTTTGGTGTCTGCAATATGAGAAGGATATGAAGCTGTTAGAGAGTGTCTAAAGGAGGGCAATGAGGATGGTGAAGGGCTGTGATGGGAAGCCGTGTGAGGAGTGGCTGAGGGCACTTGTCTCTTCAGCTGGAGGAGAGGAGAGACCTCTTAACCAAAGTTACAACTTCCTCGTGAGGGGTAGAGGAGGGGCAGGCACTGATCTCTGTGGTGACCAGGGACAGGACCCCAGGGAATGGCCTGAAGTTGTGTCAGAGGAGGTTTATGCTGGATATTAGGAAAACATTCTTCCCCCAGAGGGTGTTGGGCACTGAACAGGCTCCCCAGGGCAGTGGGCACAGCACCAAGCTTGACAAAGTTCAGGAAGGGTTTGGATGTTGCTTTCAGGCACAGGTTGTGACTCTTGGGGCTGGTCCTGTGCAGGGCTAAGAGTTAGACTTGATGATCCCTGTGGGTCCCTTCCAACTCAACATATTCTGTGATTCTGTGAAATAATCTTTAAATATTCATCTCAGTAAAGGCTGATGTTAATGTGACTTTCTGGTTGCTCTTGGCCATGCCTAGTCTGGCCCTAGGCTTGACTGTTCTGTAATGAGAAGACAGTGGCCAAGGGTTTTCCAGTTATCTTTGAAACATTTCCTTCTGGGGTTTAATCCCAGCCAGCAACAAAGCACCAGTGGTTCACTCACTCCCCCACCCGCAGTGGTTCACTCACTCCCCCACCAGCAGGGTCAGGGAGACAATCAGAAGCATAAAAGCTTGAAAACTTGTGGGTTGGGACAAAGACAGTTTATTAGAGAAAGCAAAAGAATGGATTCTACCCCAGCCAAAATCAGCACACCGTTTTATTTGTGACTTTTAAAGCAAGCCTTTCAAACAAAAAGTGATACCCTGAGATCTTAAGTAAGCTCTAGAGTTTGGGTGATCCAGCAGTTGTCCTTTTGGAGAAGAGATCAAACTGTGCTGCACATGCAATGTGAATATTGACACAAGTAAAAGAAGTAATTTGTACTTTAAATGACCCTGGATGTTTTCTCTGGAAACACTGCTTTTCCAGAAAGAGTCTTCTGGGTTTTCTATTTATTGATGCATTGCTCATGAGGCTTTTACTTAAAATATCTACAGGATAATTCCATTAATGGTGTTCCTATCACTTATGCTAATTCTCAGCTACACTAAGAGGCTTGATTTCCTTCCTTATTTTGGCAGGTCATTGATTTTACACTTCTTCAAATACTTTGTTCAGTTCAGCAAGCAAATATAGAAGACATTTTTTAATTTATTCCACAAAATGCAATAATCTATTGGGTTAAATAAATTAATTACAAGACATATGAAGTAAAAGCACTGGTCACCCTCCTTTTGATTTAGATGACCTAGCCAAGTTGATAAAAATACTAAGAATTGTATAGGCATAATCAGAGAAAAAAAAGGTGGGTTTTTTTGGTTTTTTTTGTGGTTTTTTAAAATAACATTGTTGCTTTTTTCTTTCTTTTTCTGGGGGGCTAGTATTACAAGCACTTATAACACACATAAATGTATATGAAGACAAAGGATACTATGAGCAATTCAAGGGCAGAAGAAGCCCATTAGTTAAAGGAAAACATATCTTTCTGCTTTTTTTTTTTAGATTGATTTCCAAAGACGATTTCCACCTTGATCCAAATTATATTTTCTGCTGTTGAAGGTGTTGAGCAGAGATGTTCTTCACAGTGCTAACAGAGCTGACCTCACGCTCACAGGCGCAGCCCAAAGGTAAGCTCTCGGTTTTCAAACACAAGTTACAACAGCCTGTTCATTCTTCACAACTCAAACAATATAATTGTCCAAGAAGCAATTCCTGTTGACTTTCCTGTTGCAAACCCGTGTTCTCAAACTCCGTCGGTCAATATTGCCTCGTACGCTCGTGTGCGCTCGTGGGTATTGGCAGGGGGGCGGGCTGGGAGATGTGAGTGCATGTTGACACAGTGTTGCTCAGGGGAAAAGGGGCACATCTGCTGGGAGAGCCGTGTTTAACCAGAGGAGTGGCATTCAATATCACTGCTCGTTTGAAATCGAGTGCTGCAGTTGATTCGTTCAAACAGCACCGTGTGAGGTCTTCCTGTGCCATCACCCCTGATCTCTGTCTTTGCCTTGCTTGGTCCCAACAACCCCAAACTAAGGGCTCCTCCTCCAGCATCCACCTCCTGGGCAGAAGGATGTCCTCTCACAGATGCACCCACTGCTGAGTGCTAGAAGTGCTCTTAAATACATTATATCCTTGTATTTCCTGCAGTGATCACTGGGATCAGTGAAGTCTGAGCGAGTTTAAGTGAGTATTTATCTGCATATCTAACCAGCTTCAGGATTGTGCTGAGGACCCTGCTGCCAAAGGTTGTGTTGACCCAGAAAGGAACTGGAGTAGATCCAAACACCTTTGAATCCAGCTCTCTGATGTATCCAGATTAATAGGGCAGCTGCAGCAATGGTGAGTTTTGAACACACAGTTTTTCATTCTTGGTTTAATATCTGTGCTTGACACTGTGATACTCATCTCTTGCACAGTTTTGTGTTTTATGGTGTTTCTCTTGCCCTTTACTGCACAGTGTTATAACCCTTGGGTCAGTGTCTGTAGACAAGGGTATGCAGAAGATCTCGAGCAGCAAGAGGAGGACTTGTTTCTCTTTTCTTTTCCTTTTCTTTTCCTTTTCTTTTCCTCTCCTCCCTTCTCTTCCCTTCCCCTCCCCTTTTCCCTTTTCCCTTTTTGCCTTTTCCCCTTCCTTTTATGTTTAATATTCTGAAACATGCCCTGGAAAGGAAAGGAATCCATGAGCTCATGCCACTTCTATGTTCAACAGCTCTGTTTGAGAGAGCACTTTCCCCCCTCCAGGAAGGGTGATGAGGGATGTGTTTATGGGTAAGGATGGCTGAGCACGGCAGCAGAAAATGTGAGCTCACCACATCTTTCCTTTCTTAAACAAGAGCCTAAAAATACTTCCAAAATCACTCTCTGTGAGACACAGAATACAACTCCCTGGCCACACAAAAGCTGAGTGGAGCTATGCCTCTGTCCAAAATGCTTTCAGATTTATAGGCCATGTGGACGAAAATACTTGGAAGGAAAAAGGAGGTTTTCAAGGATTATTGATTCTTTGCCTTATTCTGGACAAATAAACCTATGTGAAAGAAGAGAATAGAAATGTGTTTACTCAGATGAGACATTTGACATGATAGGGAGAGCCAAACTCACCCTACATGCTGTCTAATCTCCAGGAGATCTTGGCTGCAGATCAGACCCATTAGTTAGCCCACAACCCCAACAAAGCCTCCTGTAGAAGGCAAAAAATGTCAGAGAACACTGTGGCAGGAGTGCCTGCCCTAAGGTGATGTCCAGTAATGAGAATGGTTTCTGCAGAAACCCCCCATATATCTGCCCCATCTCTGTCTTAGTTAAATTTTTATATTGTGGCTATTTTCTACAGGTGATGTAGCTAATTCACAGGCTTTGGCAATTTCCTTTTTCAACTTTAATCATATGTTGTCTAGAAAAACAGGTTTCTTATGAGGAGTTGTGATTTATTTTCCTTTCTCTTTTTGTTTTGGTGTGGCGTGGAATTTTTCCTTGGTTGGGAGTTTTGTTTTGATTTGTTTTTTTTTAAAGGGGATTTTTGTGTTCTTTCTGTGTCTTAGTCTTTACCATCTCTTTTTGCACTACTGGACTGGCACAACTGGGTGGTGGGGGGTCTTTTGCCACAAACATAGTGTTGATTGATTGTACATCAGGTTTGTGTGGGTAGTCTGACCCTTTTCCAGTTAAACTGCCACAGCTCATGGAGGTTTTACAGGGATTAGATTTGTTATTTGTACGTTCTGTTCAAAGCTACGGGCTTAGTTATATTTTAACTATTTGTTAAGTATACAGGACAACCCTGAAAGGATCCAGGTTAATAATATTTACAAATATTTGTAACTGCCAATAATGACTTCATGTCTGTGTGCAGGATGTTACATGTGAGATCAGATACAAGCCAAAAACAGTAATCAGTTCCATAACAGCTTTTAATAAAGAGAAATTTGAATAAAAGTGTTTAGAAAAGTATAGAATAAAGGCAGAAAATCTTTTTTTCCTATTAACAAATGATATAAATCAGAAGATATCTTGTTTTACAGGTATAAGTTGAAATCTTCAATCCATTTTTATATAGAAAATATTGCAGTTAAAGCACAGTACTGCTGGAATATAGGTATTAACCCTTCCTCAGATTTTCTCTCTTTTATATCAAAGAGAAAAAGGAGGCACTGAAAAATTAAATGACCCCTAAAAAAAGTTTTGTTACAGTATGACTTCATGTCATAACTTTGATAAAAACACTTCGCTATTTAATAAAGAGGAATTCAAACTGCACTTTGACCAATGCCTAACTGAGTTTTATCTGATTATTCAGCTGTTACCTGTTGACTGTAAATGATGAGTAGAAGCTATGAAAGCATTTGCAAGCTGATGTTAGGTCACAGAATCATAGAATGGTCTGGGTTAGAAGGGACCTTAAAGATCATCTGGTTTCAATCCTCCTGCCATAAGAAGGGACATCTCCCACTAGAACACATACCTCAGAGCTCCATCTAACCTGGCCTTATTTTAATTCTACAGTTATTTAATTCTGTAGTTATGGTTCTATTGTGTTACTCCTCTAGCAAAAGACTAGGATTTATTTGCCTCGGAGGGAACAGTTTGAAAACACAAAGTTGAACAGAGGTTATTTTGTCCAACTGGCAGCAAGGTGAGAGGCATCCTGTTACCTCTGCAGGTGTAAGGACAGTGAAAAATAAACTCAGGATTGTTAAGTATAAAAACAAGTATTTGGGAATTCTTTCTCATTCCATGTGGCATCTGAATACAGGGAAAAAAACCACACTGCTCTGGCTGCAATAAGTTATACATAACATAATCTCTAATCAGAATCCAGAGCAGAGGAAAAAATCCTGTATACCTTTTGGAGGTGTTCTCTTTTATTTGGAGTAATAAAAATGGATTTGGGTTCAGTTGCCTCTCTCTGTCACGTGCAAAATCTGTAATTACCTCTTGTGCTTTGTGCTTTCTAGTCACCGAGATCTTAGGTCTGTGCACAGCATCTGATGGGATTTCTGACCCTACCTGTGACCTCTACACTGAGATTCATTTATCATCCTAATACAGAGAAACATTAACATGATGCATTCTCTGGTAAGTCTATCATTTCTGAGCTTATGGACTTGGAAATGTAAGAAAAAAATATTTGTGGCTGTGATAGTCATGACATGTAGAGCAGGATACAGAGAATATGACATCTGTTCAGTGAGATCATGTGTTATAGTGCAGCCCTACCTTGAAAGGTGTGTATTTAAAACCCACAGCACTGGTTGTTTATTTCGATGGTGAATTTTAGTTATGATTTATGCAATAAAGAATCCCTCCCTGAAAATGAGGCATTTTCAGAGGAAGGTGCTGTTTATAACAAAACTTTAGTAAATAATGCTTTAAGCTCTTTTCTCGTACTTTCTAGGGAGGGCAGGTCTGTGTGTAGAGGCAAAGGAGGGCATTGTGACACCCAGTCAGCCCAGTAAAGTGACAATCTTTCAAGCCACTTTGCACACTGATTTTAAAAAGGCAAATAAGCTGACAGAGGTAGCAATACATTTATAGAGTCACAGACCAGGGCACGGGTAAATCTTAAATCGTTATGAACAGCACATTTCTTAGCTTATAGAACTCAAAAATATGGTTTGATTTCGATGTTGTTGTCACTGAGGTTAGACAATCTACAGTTCCTTCCAGTCAGAAGAAAGCTCAGTCCCTGTTCAGGACCCCCTTCCTGAGGATCCGGAGCCTGGACAGGACCACATCCCAGTCCGCGTAGGCCCCTTCCAGGTGCCGGGTCACCTCCGGGCCCGAGGGGTAGCTGCGGCGCCCGTGGAGCACACGCCAGTTGTCAAACGTCACTATGTCTCCTGGAAAGAGATGGCACGAAGGTCAGCCACTGAAAGTTAGGAAATCACTGAATTAAGGCTAGAATGCCCATTTAATTTTTCTCCCTTGTGTGCCACCGTTATGATAAATCTCTCATTAAATAACCATACAGTCATAGAATCATAGAATAGATTGGGTTGGAAAAGACCTCCAAGATCGTCAAGTCCAACCCCTGATCCAACTCCAATTACTGTATCAGTCTTTCTTTTCTTGTCCCCATTTCCTCTACCACCACTTTGGTGCATTAGTCGATAGGATGAATGGCACCAAGGGGATGTAAGGTGTTTTGTTTCACTGGATCTTCCACATTATTTTACTGCATCTTCCCAAGAGTGAGAGATTCATTTCCTCATAGACATTTTAAAGACATGTCACAGCACGAGGCAGTCAGATACACTCATGAATTTACTTTCGTAACATCTCTTGAGAGACAAGGGACTATTCATATCTTTATTTTATAGCTGGGGAATGAAAGAAGAGATATATTTCCCATCTGTGGTGCTATTGATACATTAATTTCCAATACTGTATGTATATAAAATGTAGTTTTGGATGTAGCATAAAGATACACTGGACTAATCATCAGAAAGACTCTATTCTCCTGCTATTTTTATTTCTTTTTAATGTAACAATGGCAAAAGAAATCTATGAGATGAGCATAAGACTGCAGTATGAAATAAAACAGTCCATAGGAGGACTGAAATTTCCTCTCACTTCTAGTGCTAACAGTGCTCAAGTGTTTTGACAGCTGGGAAAAAACATGTGAAAAACTGTCGAGAGGAGAAGCAACTTACTGACCTGGTTCCAGCTTGTAAGTAAACTTGTGTTCTGCACTGTTTAATAAATCATTAAATTCCTTTAGAGCTGCATAAAATGGCCTCACTTTTTCAGCTGGTATGTCAAACACGGTGTCTCTTGTCGCATTATTATAATTGATGCGAACTGCTTGGCCTCTGGAATCTATGCTATGAGACAGAGGGGAGGAAAAAAGGCAAGGAAAGGGAAAAGGAAAGAGGAAGGGGAAGGGAAAGGAGAGGGGAAAGGAAAGGAAAAGGTATTCTGTTATTATTGAAACACTGTAACACGGTTAAACAACAACTGAGCTTCTAATTACTACTTCTTCTTGCAAATAAGTGGTACAACGCACAGAACAAGTCACACACTGACAAAAAAAACCACAAACAAACAAACAAAAACCCCACCAAAATCCAAAACTACAGGCCCAGTTAAACCAGTCTTTTCCCACCAGGTGGCAGGAGCAGACTTTCTTCTACCGGAATGTAATCCACAACACAACTGGGATTTTCTTTTTAGGTCTTGTTTAGGTCTACTCACTCTATAATCCTTTGTTTGCCGTGCACAGCAAAATCACAGTAGTCCACCCCAACATCAGTGTAGTTTACAGCAGTAGAGGACAGGATCTGATACGCCTCAGGATTTTGTTTCTTCATCTTGTTGCATACGTGGAATCCATCTACAACCTCACTTTCACCTCCTGCAGCCGTTTGCTTTATACAATGGAGAAACTGAACCTGGAATAAATTAACAGCTCATTTTAAAAAGTAGTTAGCTTGCATATTTAACAGCTCGTTAGTATCAGTTCCCTCATAGCTGTGGTTCTTTTTTTTTGAGTTGTTGTTGGTTTTTTTTTTCCCCTTGAAAGCCTGAGTTCCCATTTACTGCAGCTTCACAACACTCTGCCACCACTACCACAAGGGAAGAAAATTAAAGCAGCATGTTCATAAATCCATCTAATGATTGCAACCTGTAAGTCAGTGGCAAAGTGGTCTTGCTTCTTTCCTTTGAGTCCCCCTTTGTGGCAGTCAAAATGCAGTTTTAAATGCATTGCTGTCTTATGTCAAAAAGCAGGGTTAGCTTTGTCCTGCAAAAACAAAACCTGCTGTGAATTATCCACTCAGAGAGGGGAAAAGGTGGCTCTCAGAGAAGGCAACAGGCCCGGTGTCTCTCTCACAAAGTAGGATTAAGACAGTTTCATTTCACTTTGAGTGTAAGATGGAGCAGAAAGCCTAAACTGGGCTCCAGGTTGCACTGGTGTAAGCCTGAGCTGCTGGCACAAGCAGCAAAACTCCCCTAGGAAATCCTAAAACAATTTTTATGGGACAGTTCTGAAACTGATCACTATCCATTTAAACACAGCTCTTCACGTATTTGTAATAAACACGTTTAAGGAATTCAAATATTGTGTAATAGCTGGATACATAAAGAAAACTGTGCATTTGGGACGATGTTCTTAAACAATTCGATGTACTTTAATACTCTTATTTCTTACAAGCACGTTTGAATGAAAAATGTTACGTTCTTTTTCTCATGTTTCATAGTAGAGTGTGAGCTTTGGCACAGACAGGACAATGAGATAATTCACATCTGCTCTCTATTAATGAAGCGCTGTTCCATTCTTACTCTACATCAACAGTATCTAAATGATGAAAAGGTAATTCAGTGTGAAGTATTTAGAACTTACCTGTGGGGAAATCACATTGGCTTTGTCTTTAAGCACAGAAACAACAAAGTACTCCACAGCAAGAGAAGGGGAAGTTTTATAGGTGCAAACTTTTCCAGCATTATCTTTGTTTCTTTTTACCTGTTTCTCACTACTTTCCAGTTCTCTGGAATTATGTGAATTATGTAGATTACACTTTGACAAGACAGGGACTGGGTGAAAACATATTTTTTATGTTTGTCCAGTTTTAAAGAATGGCCCCTTTATTGTTCTGTTATGAAAGGGCAAACAAGCGTCTATCTTGTATCAATTCACAGAAAACAGAGTATACCATCTTAATATTTCTTCCTCTATTCCCCTCCTGAGCTGAACAGATGACTCCTAAAATGTCACAACTTGACTATAGCATTTAGACACCTAACTTTTATAATACAGTGAAAGCACTATTCAAAGTACATACAGGACTCTAAAGTTTTCTCATATGGTAATATTTTCAACACTCTGTGAATTTAATTTAATCATTATGGGACATATAAGGGACTTATTATGCTGAACTTACATCATACTGCATATATTGCATGCCCTTGTGTATATATTATATTATATGCATATAATAATACTAATAATAATTGTTATTTTTACATTGCTCTTTTACCAAAAAAAAAATTTCAGAGTCACTGAATGCTCACCATATTTCACACTGTGGTAACAAACACTTCCCTTTCCCCTTTTGTGGGCTGAAAAAGAAGTCAGTAGATTCAACTCACCCCAGGTGGATGCTGCAGAACGGGGTAATCGGTGTGAAAACTCAGTTTCCCAGTTGTATAAGCCACGTTGTTGGCATCTGCTTTGTCTTGCACTTGCCATGTTGGTCTGTATAATGAAAGGGAAAAGAGAAAACATGTTGGAACAGCATGCCAGGCAGTGCTCACTGAAACTGTGAAATCACAGTAGAAAAGAGTAATTGCATCTTTGAACGTGAAAATATTTTAAAGTTATAAAGAAATAAGGATTTAGCAGTGTCCTTTCACCCCAACAAAGGCTTATTTCAGCAGTCCTAGATAAACTTCATTGCATCAAGTGACATCTGTCCCCAGTGTTGTACCTAGAAGAATGATGGCTTTCCAGTGCTAAATATAAAGGCCAGTTGAAGACGTGAACCAAGAGGCTTCTGCCAGGAGAAATCATCATCTTAGCACTGAGGCTTCAGAAAGAAGCAAGTTGAAGTTGGTCCATTTTTTTTTTTTTACCAACCTTTCACTTTCCTCTGCCACAGGTAGCACATTATCAGTGAAATATAAAATTGATAAAGGCCATATAACTTTCCCCAAAACTCATTTTTAAGGCTTTATAATCTTAGAAAATGCAGAGTATTTTATCCTTGCAGGGGGATCTTTCCTTTAACTCAAAGACTTGCTGCTGGAGGAAAATGTCTGGATGAAAGACTTTGAAACTTCTTCCCTTTCTCTGACAGTCTCTAGCCCTTTTTTTTGGGGGGGTACATAGAATTATGAAACTCATTTTCCCTTGTGAAATATTATAGAACAAATACATTATGTTTCAGATGGTGTATGTCTAGCTTTACTTCTTAATAACAGTTTAAAAAGAAAATATGCTAGATATACAGGGTGCAAACACTTCTGTTTGTCAGTTTTGAGTGGTATTTAGTACAGAAACTATGCAAAATGCCAAAACTAAATTTCTTCACTTGCCAGAGGGAAAAGCCCCTTGAATATTTGCAAACGTGCTTAACTGCCTGGGAGAAATAGTTTTTAATTATTTGGTACAGCAAATATTCATCACTACATGACCTCACTACTGAAGTATGATAATTTCAACCACACTTTCACAGCCCCCAGTTTGACAGCCAAAAACCAGCCCCTTATATCATCCTTGCCCTTAGTGTTGAAGGCAGCTAGGTTTGCTCCATCTTTGCTACAGCCTATAAAAATTAAACACATTTCAATTTTCTCATTAAAAATTGCTCAAGTTACTGGCTTGAAGTTGGAGATGCTGATAGGGAGCTCAGCACTGAATGTGAAAAAAATCAACTTCACTTTGTCTAAGTCTCTACTGAGCTGAAGTTTCTACTCATCCATGAGGAGAGCACGAAAGAAGTAAGGGAAGAATATGCAGGTAATACCAGAGGACTCTTGGCCCTCAGGGAGAGCAAAGCTGGGTGGAATGGTTTGTGGTTTAGTAATTAGGGTCAGATTTCAAAGCCCGTTGCTCAGGCTGTTTGACAGAGCAGGAAAATTGGCACCAAGCAGATATAACAACCTTTTGCATTAAGTAGCAACACGGGCTCAGTATCTCTGAGCAGAAAAACAGGCTGTTACATCCTTAGTCCTGCAAAACTGCTGAGCTGGGAACTGAAGCCACATCTGAATCACCTGGTCTTGCACTTCATTAAAAGTCTCTGTCTCATTCAATTGAGAATTGGGAGCCATGTGCTGGTGCTCCTAAGGAAGGACTTCACACCAAGCACTGGACAAGGCTTCAGAACAGGGGAGGAGCTTCAGGGCATGAGAAGTTGGAGAAATTAATTGTGCTATGACTGGAGTTAATGGAGTTGGGCCTCCCTAAGGGAAAGAAAAAGGTTAATTTAAAAGCGTGGAAACCCTTGATGTTGTTACGTGGCTTACAGAGAATGTTTCCACTTTTTACGGTAATGACATTTCAGGGAGCTCGCACCAAGCACACATCTAGACAAGAAAAAAGGCTTTTCTTTTTTTTTTTTTTTCCATGAGCCAGAATTATATTCATTTCTGTTACATTTTAGTTTAAAATTCATGGCCCTGAGGTAATGTTTTATTTGGCAAGCTTGCCAATTCCAGGTTTATCCTTTTATTTATAATATTTGGTAGGCCTTGTATTTGGCTGCCAGTGAAATAGCAAGCAAATTACCCAAAGTTGTTGTTTTATTGCGGTTGTAAAAACCACCCTAGAACTGGATGCCAATAAGAAATTAAATTCTGTTCCAGAGCTGAAAATTATTACAAATATTAGCTAATAACACTGCTTCTTTACTCAGCTAGATGGAGGTCACTGACTCAGCTCAGCAAGACGTGAGCTGCCATCATCATTTGTCTACTCACCTACCTAGTAGGTGCTTGAGGAGGTAGAGGTTCAGTTTACCCTCTCTTGGCATCAAAAGGATGATTCCCAAGTTCCTGCTTGCCCTCCTGCAGCTGAGCTCTGCTTGTTGGGATTGGTTATGGCTTTTCAGAGCAGACCTGCTGAAAGCAGGGAAGGGGGTACTCTGCCCATCTTCTTGGTGATGTGAGACACAACAGCATCATCTAAGCCTTACCTATTTCCATGACTCAAAATCAGACTAAGAAAATAAGTCTCAGTACAGATAACTTCCTCTTTTCAGAAGGGGAGTGGATTAGGGATTTTTGGTTTTGTTCCATGGTATAGATAAGTAAGTTTCTCTTTTTGTTATCTTGTATTTGACATCTGTTTTCAGGCGCCTTTCCTTCTCTCAGCAGTTAATGTTATTGCTGCTCTTCTTCACATCTTTCTGCCCTGCCTGTGACAACAGACTTTCTAATATACAGAGAAAAAAACCTCATACACCTTGCTTTAATAACTTAGCTCACAAAATAAATCCAGCAAGCTTAAATGAAGAACATTAGAGGTGATTACAAATCTTGCGAGGCAAAGACATTAAAAAACAAACTCACCCGTAAAAAGTGAGGCGCAGGAACCCAATCCTGTGGCCAAGTTTAATCAGTTCTCCCTGCCTTGGGGCAGCTCCTGTCAGCAGAACGATTCCTACTTTCTTTAGGGTGCACAGCCACTTGTATGCACTTTCATCACTGTGCATGATTTCTTCGAAAGGTATTTTGGGAAGCTGAAGGTCTGAGCCCCAGTATTGGCGTTCTGAAAGGGAAGAAGTAGAGAAACAAGTGCTCAGCTGTTCTAGCATCAAAACTCAGGACATGCTGTTACAGCAAAGATATGATTGTTTTTCCTTGCTTTTATACATTCAGTCTGAAACAGCTAATTCTTAGGAGAGTGCACTATAAAGCAGGAAAAAAATTATCTATTTCATAGAATAATTGCTTTGTTTAAATCACAGCCACCTTACTTGGCATTTTAGCTAACATTCAGTTAACCTGCCCAATCATCAATCACAGAGATTACACACTATAAATGAGACCATAAACATTTGAGAAATGCAGATGGCATCCTTTATAAAACACCTATGCCTTTCTTTATGCCAACATCTCTTCAGCATTGGACAGGACCAATGAAAATGATTGCAGATTCCAAGGAGCTTTCAAATGAGAGCTCTGGGGAATTTCACCTGGTGACAGAGGGACATAATACACTTCAAACAAATGTGAAGGCCAGGTTTGGGGGCTCTTTTTTATCTCTTTCTAGATATAGGTAGCAAATACAAAATACAATTTGCTCATAAAAAATTGAACACTACACAATTACAGCATTTTTCAACCACTAGTGCTCCTTTTTCCTTTGGCTACTGCTAGTCAGAGACAGTCCAAGAAACTATTCACATAGACCATCTTCTGTACTCTACCTGGGCTTCAAAAACCTGAAGTATGATTGACAAGCTGTTGAATTTTTAATGTTCAAAAAATGAAAAATGTGCAATCCTTGAGGAATGATATAATCTTACCTCACTGCTCCACCCTGTTAAATTCAATATACATACTTTTACACACTTGAAAGGTGGTGAAAAGATAAAATATGAATGTTTTCTCTTTTCTCTATTAAAAGTTATGAAATTGAAATAGCTCTAGGTATGCTGTGTGAACTGCCACAAACACTCTTTGAAGGACAAATTTAAGCTTCACTGTCAGTGCAGGTAAACAGCCACGTGAAAACTAAGATTCCTCTTTTCCATCTTAGTTTTCTCGCTATCTTGCTAATAAATATTTTCTTTATCTTCCTGAAATGAGTAGAATTTCAAGGAATATACCTAGAGATTTTTCCTCACTTTGAAAAATATATATATATGCACCTGGAATTTAACTGCAGCTCCAGTAGTCCCAGGGTACATGGACTGTCCTCTTGTTCAAGTTCCCAATGCCTATACTGCTCTTGCTAGCAGTTCCACCTAATATGGGATGGCCCTTACAGTACCACTATGATGTGGAAATTGTAAAATTTCCAGGAAACTGAGCTCTTCTCTGATACTCCCCAACCAGGTACTAAAACTGAGCAGCTTCTTTTTTTTTTTTTTTTTTTTTTTTAATGTGTGACTAGGTTGCATTTAAGAAAACCCCACCAAACAAACAAACAAAAAAACCCCCTTCAAAACACCAACAAAACAAACAAAGCTAGAGAGACATAAATACAGTTCAATCCTGCCATAAACCATCCTTCAAATTTTCAGTTTTCTCATGTAAATTCCTTCCAGTGACAAGTGCAGCCAGCATCCTCAGCAGCTTTTGGGTTTGTTTGTCTTTTTAAAGGTGCAGGCTGGTACACAAATGCTTTTAAATCCCATTTCATGTTTCAGAGAAGAGAGGCTACAAGTTCCCAAGGTCTGCACTAAAAATAAGCAGCATTTATTAAGATTTCCTTCTCCTCAGCTCCAGGTGAAAGTGTTGTATTCTGTCTAATACTTACAGTTTGACAAATTATAAGGTCCATAATTATTTGGACCAGCATTTCCTGGTGGTAATTGCTTCCACTCATGCTCTTCATTATTTTATCCAGTCAGCACAGGAGGATTTTTCCTACTGCACAAGTGCAGTTAATAAAGTTTATATTGTACTACAGTAGAAATATTACAACACACTCTCTGAAAGCTGAGGAGGCAAGAAAGAGAGGAATGAACCATCAGCGTTTGGGCAGCCTTAGGTCTCACTTGCACAACGCAGCAGCACAGTGGCCAAATCAAAAATCTTGATGTTTACAAACGTAGCTGAACAACTCAATAAGGCACAAAAACAAAGGCCTCGTGGAATTACTTTTTGGTTTTATCATGACTGCTAAACCCCCAGATTTTCAAACTGGGAAAGAATTAAATACTTCTGAAGGAATTAAGGCCTCTTTCAAATTCAGAACAATAATTGGGGGGGTGGGGTGGAGGGAGGAAAGGAGAAAAAAAAGAATTCTATTTCTTGATCATACCAGGTCAGCCACAGTAAATCATCTACATTAGAATCTACACAAAATCAGAAGATGTCCTTGGCCCAGTCCCTGCTGATGGATGTGCATGCATCAGCAAGCACCTGGAATTATCCAGCATTTACTATGCAGCCTGAGACAGTGCTGATCAAAACCTTTTTATGCTGGAGTCATATAGGAAAGAAAGTCTAGACATCACAGATCAACTTATTTCATCTAAAATTATTTTGTCTACAGCTTGTGTTTTAATGTTTGTTGAAAGCTAAGTGCATTTTGCTGTATTGTTACATGTATGTCAGCCTAACTTGTGGCATTAAGCTCTTCTTGATTATTACTGCAGGATAAATTCAAATGACCAAACTCTTATAGTAAAAATGTTACATTTAATTTCGTCCTCTTAAAATTATTATCTCTCAGAACCTAGCAGAGAAACTGAAAGCATCACTGATGCTGTTAACATCCTGATTTAAAATTCAGTGGGAGTTGGATATATATCCAAAATCATATTATCACATTTTAAAGGGCAATCATCATCTGAAGGCTTTAAACTTATGCTAAAACCTTAACCTAACCTGGGGTTAAAAATAGTAAGTATCACTAGGTGCACTACCTCTGCACAGTCTTTTCTTCTACCCAGAAGGAAAATATCGTGATATTACCTAATTTTTTTTTCTCCTCACATCCTGCTGTTGGGATGCCAGCATCTTGGAAAATGAGCCTCAGCAAATGCAATGCAGTGAGAGACTGGATACTGGCATACTCAGTGTCTCTCACAACCCTCCCCTACACACAGCATCTGAGTCACAGTGCTGCTAAAACATTCCCGTGACATTTGCTGGGGAGAACAAAAGTAAACAGGAAGGAAAAGGAGAGTATCTTTGAGACACCATGGCTGGAGAAGTAGAATATGGCTCTTCTGCTGTTCTTTTGGGAGTATTTTGTAAGCTGGACTGGAGTGAGCCTTGATATACACAAATAGCAGATTTTGCAGATTGCATGATAGGACCTGGCAATGTTTTAAAGGGAGAACCTTGACATGTTGCCACACAGTCACTTCATCGTGCACTGAAAATCTGACCTACTCTTCCTTTTGGGTTTAATACAACTCCTGGCATCTAGGGTTTTTGAATCAGAAACTATGATGGAAAAACATTAAAAAAAAAAAAGAAAAAGAAAAAAGAAAAAAGCAACATTAAAAGCAAGTAATCACTTGCAAAAGAAAACAGAAAAATAATAGCCACTGCTGTGATAATGTCAGCAGTGAGGGTTAACCTTTAACTACAGCAGTCTGGTGGGTTTGGGTTTCTATTTGTTGAAGCAGCATGCAGGGCTGGCATTCCATATCATTGTCTGTAACACTACACTGCTGGGATATGATTAGTTACTTAAGGGCATGTAATTTGCAGTGTGTAACTGCACTGACCACAAGGAAGAGAGTTCTAAACTTACCCCCAGTACACAATGAGAAACAGATCTCAGCCAGCCAGCAAGTAAACTTACAGGCTGCAGCCTTTTTTTGCAACTGAAGCCTGGGAAAGCTGGGAGAAGCTGTCCATCATAATGAGCCAAGACTTTTTTGAGAATATGAGGAAGAGCAGAATTACACCACTAAAAAAAACCCAGTTAATCAGTGTAATTTTTATAAACATATTTCTTCAGATCTACCACGTGAAACAGAATTTGAAAAGGCATTGCCCAAAAAATAAAGCAGATCTTTGGTGTAGATTTTTTTACCTGGTTGGCTCCACTGAAGAAGAGCAGTGGCAGAGGGGAGAACTGGCTTCCAAAATGTGCATTGTATTTAGAACCCAAGAGTAAAGCACTGTGCAAATGAGTGAATGCACATGAAGGCAAATCACAGCCAGTTAGACTTCATAAGGAGTGAAAAAAGTAGCATTACATCTGAAATACTGAAATCTCAGCTACTGAAATCTCAGCTATTGATATCTTTGCTAACAAATATAACCAGAGATCTAGATTATTTTGCCTGGGTACTAACTAAAGCAATGTTCAATTTACATTGATCCCTCAGAGGCTACAAGACATCCTGCTAGCTTCCACAGCATCTTCATTTTTACAAATGAAAATTCAACTCCCTGAGAAATCAAGCCTAGTTTCCCTGTAAGGGGTTTGCATCTTCATCATATTCCATCTGGAAACATGCCCAACCTTCCAAAATAGTAAACACAGCAGTTTATTGTTGCCAAAACTAAATTAGACATAAACTTTTATATTTCCGGGGAAAAAAAGTTCCATTTTGAACTGTGAAGAGTCTGTTATAGGATCCACTAAAATTTATGGAAATATTACCCATCAGTTAAGCTTTAAACCAGATATAAAAGGCTGGCTTTTGTTTAGGACAACGGGTGCTAAGGAATATTTGACCTGCAGAAACTGAGAAGCATAACTGGCCTCTTCATCTGTCCCTAAAATGCCAAACAAAGCTCATATGAAGGACAAATCTAGGGCCACATATTTTCCCATTTCTCATCTTTCAGGGAAAAAAAACCACAACACAAACCAACTCACAAAACACCTCCCAAAAAAAAAGGGTCATAAACCAACTGTGGATTTGCCCTTGCTAAGCTCTGAGGAAACTGATACCTGGACCTGAGTTTCACACCATCAGCCAACCTCTAGTTTCTTTTTTCTAAAGTGGTATCCTATTTTAACAGATACTGTCCTAACCCTGAATACAGATGCACAGCTTTCTGCAGCAGCAGATCTCACAGGAACACTGCTAAGAGCAACAGCAGAAATCCTGCAAGTTTTCACACCTTTAATTCTCACAGTCTGAAAGGCTGTCAAGGAAATGATGATGTGCATCACGCCAGTCCCAGTGGGTTTATAGTTATTCACTCAAAAGGGTGAGTGATTTAGAGTGGGTAAATGTTACAGACAGTTGCACGAAATGCTTTGTGACCAAAAGACTGCCAACTACTGCAACACGTACGGGATGCAAAGCAAACACAACCTGAACTTCAGCACTACACACTGATACACGGTTACTTTTTAACAAGGCAGCCAAGGAAAGGGGGAAAAAATGTCAGTTGTTAAGTCTCTTGCAATTCTAAATAATCTTTCTTTTTGGAAAAATTTAGAAAAAAATTAAATAGTTTAAACAGCACACACTTGCATTGTCACACAGGCCACTGTCGGTCCACAGGGCTCATTTGGGAGACCTGCTAAGCCTGTCTTGGAAAGAAAAGGCTTTTAGGAAAGCAAATGCAGCCCAAACAGTCATACTTCTCTCAGGTGCAGAGGTTAGGAAAGATAACCACGGGTCCCTGTTGTGCACGTACAGCCTGGCACTGGGCACTGAGGGTGGCTGCCACTGCTCCAGCTGGGTAGACCTGGTCCTCACACAGGCACCTCTAGCCAGGCCTGTCTTGCACTGGATACAAGCACAACAGACAAGGATTTAATTCCTACCTGGTAAAAATAAATCTGCTTGCATTTCTGCTCTGGCTTCTTCGGAGAAGCATCGTTTTTTCAGCCACTCAGCTTCATATTCGCTCGCGTGTTCATCGGACCACGTGATGGAGATCTTTCAACACAAAAAAAAAGGAGAAAAGAAAATTAGAAAACATCACCTAGAACAACAAAAAACCCTCTTAAAAATTGCAGAAATTTTAATATTTAGATCAGTAATATTACAGTGAAGCATTCCCTGGAATGTGACAGCAAACAACTAATGAAAATGTAACCTGAACATCATCCAAATTCTGACACCTTTTATCAATGCTCATTTTCACATGAATCCATGACCTAATTTGCTGTTTTGTGTGGACTGCTTTCACTGTGCTTAAGAGGAAGAAGGCAAAAGGAGAAGCTGGCACATATCTCTGGGGAGAGCACTTCACCACAACTCAGAAGAGTGAAAATATCTTGCAAAACAGACAGCTTGTGAGAAAAGAAAAAGGAGAAGACAGACAGGCAAAAAAAAATGCAAGGAGAGAAAACTCTCGCCTACTTCTGAAAAATCTTTCCTCTTTCAAATAAATTTTTTAAAAGTGTTGTTCTTCCTAATTCCTGAAAAGAAAAACATGGAAAGGAAGGGTATGGCTTTACTTGCCATGAGCTGAAAGAGCTCAGCCCAGCACAGATCCTCAGCTGAATTCTCAGGGCTGTTGAGTAGGTATCAATTCCCATTCCACATAATTCTGCTCCTTTCACATGATGGTAAATCACCACTATCAGTTTAGGATTAGTGCTGTGCTTTCGCCTGTCCTTGAGGGGAACAGACAATCTCTAATTTTCCTAATCGAATAATGAATTTACATTGTGTTAATTCTGGTAACAAAAAATGACCTTGGGAGCCCAGAATTCCTCACCAGAGATCCTTATCCTGTGGCTGAGACCCACCTGGGCATGGTTTAGCCTCTGCAAACTGCCCCGCTGCCCCAGGGTTGACTGCTGCATATTCAACACATTTAAAACATCTTTAAGTGTAAAATGAAGGAAATGAGCTTGCCAAAGAAGCCAGATACTTCTTTTAATAAAAGATATAAAATCTAAATTATATATTGGGGTTTTATATGACAGGAAATATTAAAAATCACAGAAAGGGCAATTCCTGTCTTCTCTTGCTCAATAACCTCCCCTTGTTCAGAAACAAATGTTAATGCAGATAGGTAGATGCAGACACCAGGCCAGTTTTGACTATTAGATTCAACTTCAGTTTGAGTGCTTCTCCTAAGATGAACACTTTTTCACATTGGAAATTAGCTAAAAAACTAGTATTTTTGCTATGGATTAAGTCATTGTCACTTTGCCATTTGTTTTTCTAATTTTCAAGTCATTTGCTTAAAGAACGGAGAGGGGAAAAAAGGGGTAATTAAACGTGCGGGAAATGTCAGAACTTTCTTTTCAGCATCTGGTGACGAAGAAGCATATGGCAGAATTTTCAGAAGCATTACCATATCATAAAAGCTGAAGCCTGGGTTTTTGCAGCCTCTGTAAAGTGACGTCTCATAAGGAGGGTGGGGCGATCCGAGTTCCCGAAGTTGCGTTTTTTTTTTTTTCCTAAAAGCTTTGCAAATTACCCTGCGAGGTTTGCAGATGAGCAAACCGTGATTAGAGTATAAATTGGATTAACAAGTTAATTAGACAAGTTTCACGAGAAGGTGAGTGACGGTTCGCTTCAAAATACCTTTTTCCCATCAGCCAGAGCAACCTCCCTGGCGGCGATGTTCACGTCCAGGTCCTCCAGGGGCATCCTGCGCGCCCCGGCGGAGCGCAGGAAGCACAGGGGACACTGGCAATTGTCCCTCAGCCACACGCAGGGGTAGCGGCTCTCGCTTCCATCCTCCCATTCCACGCGGACGAAATGGCCCAAAGCTCCCACCTTCCGTATTGCCGGGCTCATGCCGAGCTGCTGGGCGGTGTGGGAGCCCCGGCACGGCGCCCCGAGGGCAGCGGAGAGCAGGATCCAGCCCTCCCTCCGCCTGCAGGGACTTTGGCCCTCAGCAGGGCGTTCCACGCCGCCCTCCGCAGTCTGGGCTCGTTACCAAACAGGTTATTCTCCTTTCGAGAGGAGTCCGTGCAGCAGTGAGGGGGGTGGAAAACGCTGAGGAGATGTTTTAATCTGCGAAACAGCCAGCAGCTGGTGGGAAAGCTCCGGGTGATGTCAGAAAAACAAACCGCAGTTTAGGGCTTGACTCGCGTCGGAGCTCTGAGACCTGGGGGAGGAAGTTAACAAAGCGTGGGAGAGAGGGATATTGCTGAGAACTGGACACCAGGAATGCAGAATTTATATAGGCTTGATGGACGTTTTGCAGAAAACAGAGATAAAGAGAAAAACTAGCAAAGACAACACAGCAATTCAGTTGTACTGAAACTTTCCCTATCTGGGAAAAAAAGATAATAAGAAGACTGGAAATGTGGATTAATTACCATGAGAGGTGAGAAATCACTAACAAATACAAGACAGAATACTAATTAATAAGAGAACTGCGTAACTTGTAGCCAATCCACACTTATTCCTCTGTTTGCTAAAACCATAGTTGAAAGTATAAATAGTTAAAAGTTTTGATAATTGGTGTACATGCTAGGTGGGGCAATCCCCCATGTGCTGAACCCCCATTCAGTGCTGAATAAAGTAAGATTAACTTTCTAACCTAACAAACTGGTTGGAGAGCTTATTTCCCAGTGTTTGGCGACAGTTCTTTAATGAAATCATCAGAGGGAGAACGCCATTGCAGAGTTCCTAAAACACCACGAAGAGCAGCTCCTTACTGAAGGAGTCAGGACAGCAAAAGGACAATATTAAGACAATTCTCCTCTGCCTTCCTACTTCCCTAGACCTTCAGGGACATTCATCATCTGCTGCTTATTTTATAAGGTACTCAGAACCCTCTATTCAAAAATCCTTTCAGTGTCATCCATCACCTTGGCTGTCTTTTGTTTCTGTGATCTGTTTAACACCCATCACACAAACAGTTTCTATAAAAAAGACACCTTGAAACGAGCTCCACAAACCAAAAAGTAGGAGCTACTACCAACCACGTTCAAAAGGTGAAGCTTTAAAGTACACACACCATACTGTATGCAGAAAGATGCATTCTGCATACTGTACTGCAGAAAGATGATGCCTCCAAACCTTAAAAACATGAAAGTTCTGGTCTAATGTTCTTCTTATTCAGAAAAAATCTGGGGGAGGACCCCCTGAATCAGTAAGTCATTATATACATATTTTAATAGACTTTACCAACTTCAAATATTGCATATTTATTCAGTATCTTTTCCTTTTCTTTTTGTTCTTAAGCTCACAGGGCAAAATATTGATGCTGCACCAGGACCAAAGTCTCCCCATCTGTCTTTGTGCATGGAAAACTTCCTGGGCTTCAGTGTTTTGATTCACAAAGGCCTTCTGGAGTTAATTTTTTCCTTTGCTACAATTTTGAATTAGGTTACACAGGGCCCTTGGGCCTCCTTTTGTTTTTATTTCACATGATTGAGTATAGCAAAGCAGAATACTGATTCTTTTTCTTTCTCCTGTTTGTGTACAATGGTCCCATTGCAACAAAGTAATTGCCAACCTTCACTTGCAGTGCAGCCAAGCTGGTTTTGTGCACACAGACCCAAACACCTTTTATCCAAAAATGGGTTCATATCCGGACTGAATGTATTCTTTTTTACACAAATATGTCCAGAATATACGCATGTAAATGCATATGTGCATATTTCCACCATAATTCTAAATTCTAACTTCCAATTCTAAAGCACTGAGACGTACTGCAATTATCCCGACTGTATAAATATTTACACTGCAAGACAGCTGCAGTGTCCTCCTGAGATTTCTTGAACAAAAGTTTTATTACATATGATGGCAAAGCTGTGTTACTTTTTAGAGGTTATAAACAAAAACAAAAACCCAAACAAAATCACAAAACCACAAACAAACAAACAAAAAGGGACGACCATTTCAACGTGCCATAACATTTTGCTACATCTGTACTGGTTTCAAGATAGTTCTGTGTTCGAGGTAGTGGGTTACCTGATGGTAATTGGTCACAGTGCCTGGACAAAGCTGAATTATCCAGTACAAAGCATGGCACTCACATCCACTTGATTTTATTAACACTAGAAAGCACCTGAGCAACAGAAATGGTCGGATCAATTTATTCCACCTGTTTTTCAGCATATCCAAGCACTCTTTCCACAACCAACCACCCAGTTCCCCTGGGGATACAGATGCTTTTATCTGTGTACTAAATACCTGTAGGTACTCCTGCTTAAGACAAGACCGTGAGAATCAGGATTTGTTTCAGAAGTTTAAGGCCATCAGGAAGCTCCTCTGGCTTACTGGGGGCTGGGGAAGTCCAGATATTTGAGTATACATATTAAACCCACCTAAGTGTTTAATTTCAAAGTTACTCCATAATGTGGTTCATGCAATCATGACATTCATCTATCCAGTAGTCCACATAGTGGTTTCATACATAAATTTCTTATCTTCATTAAGTGGCTCACCAAATATTTTTAGTATTATTCACATGCTTAGGTTTTAACCTAAGCAAAGGCTCTTCTTTAACTTCAGCATGGCGGTTATAACTAACTGGATTTTGTATATGAACTTATTATAAATATTTTTCTTCAAAATGTCAAAACAAGGGATAAGAAAAAAACATTAAGCCTTTACTTTTTTAACGTCTCTCAGGGAACAATTCACCAATAAGTTTAAAGCCCTATGAGAAGCTTGCCAGATTTAAAGGGCTTTCAGAAATCTATTTTACCATTCAATTAAGAAATCTGAACTCACTTCCAAGACAGTCCTCATGCACTAGTGCTAATAGAAAACCACATTGGAAATTTTTTTTTTATGGCAATAAACTGAGGTGAGTTTATTGTCTCCTTATCACAAATGTTACTTAATTGGTATTTGTTCACCGAGTAATAGGTAACTCAGTCACACAAAATGCATGTCAAGCAAAATCTCTTCTCTACATCTGTGACAGTGAGTTTTGTAATGCTTTGTTAACAAAAAAACCAGATGCAACCAATCCTGATGGGCAAAATTTCCATATTAAAAAACAAACAAAAAACCCAAACCAAACAAAACAAAAAACACACACCAAACTTCTGAGGGAGTTACTGAGGTGAGATGCACGTAATTTAAGTTACAACTAGAAAAGCTGTAAGCCAAATGTAAATTGCCACCATTGCTTGGATGAACAGCTGGGTTCAACTCACGTAACCTCAGAGATGTGCAATCATGACTTACACCCAAACATCACAAGGAGTCCCAGCATTTCTAAATAACAGGTACATCTGGATCACAATTCAGACAACCTTTGGTTAGTCACAAAGAATTCTTTTGAAATATTTTCAGTCCTAAGAGCCAGAATCTGAAAGAGCCACTGCATCTCGCAGACAGTGAGGGGAGGATCTCCTTCACAGGCTGCAGCAGGAGCCTTCAGTCCCTCTGAGATAGGAAATGATTCCACTGGACATTTTGCAATACTAATAAAAATCATTACATGTGGCTTTTTAAATATGCAAATCTACTTGGTCCACTTTTACCCTGCCCCAAGACATACTCGAGTTTTTCATTTATGTCTGTTTATTGAAGTCTGTGAACTTGTAACTGCATAACACCACTGTTAATTAGGAGGGAATTGGGCCCTCCAGCTCCAAATATTATTCCATTTGCTGGCTATGCAAGAGGAAGTGTGAAACTGTTACAGCAAAAAGATTTGCCTTGTGGTGAAATCAAGCATTTACTATTTAAATACACTGTAGTGTTTGCACTAGACTTCTGTTTCTGTCTACACTTCAAGTTACTCCCCTATCAACAGCAATCCTGTAACAAATAAAGAGACTGTTGTTTTCCTTGAATTAGTCATATCATAGTGTCACTGTTAAAATGAAAGCCCAGTTAACAGAGATTAAAAATATCTGCTAAGTTATGTCCTCCAGATGTTTTTCTTCTTAGATACACAAACTGAATAGACCTACAAGACTACTTTTTTTTTTCCCCCAGACACAGCCCCAGAGCAGAAGCTTCTCCGTTCAGGAGGATTTTTTCCACAGTGGGGTAGTAGCAGTATCCTGGGTCAAGTTCTGCACAGAGGCCACCCAAACATGTCTTCACTGGGCTACTTCAGTATGGCATTTCACAACCACCAGGCACTTGTCACTACTTCTACTGCTGTTTTTACAAAAACAATGTTAAGGCAATACTAAATGCTAGAAAAATACAACTATGTGTCTCGAAAAACCTGGAGCCCAAGACAGCTGAACTGCTGGTAAAGAAAACCAAACCCAAATGCCTGGTCCTGATAGCATCAGACCACTGCAGAAAACTCATCTCCCATTCTAGAAGGCTATTAAAGGTGCTCATGGAATCAATCACACTACATGGATCTCCTTATCACATACAGTACACTTTCTAAACTTGACCGTCTTAGAAGTTTGGCTTGTTTGGTTGTTTTTAGTTGGTGGTTTTGATTTGGGTTTTTTTGTTTTGGTTTGTTTTTTTGTTTTGTTTGTTTGTTTTTGGGGTTTTTTGGGTTTTTTTGGGGGGGTGTTTTGTTGTTGTTGTTAGGTTTTTTTCCAATTTTACATAAAAGCCGGATGGTAATTGCAGATTAATTGAGACTAAATTATCAGTAAGAGTTCCAGGATTTTTTCTTCCCTTCCCTCCTTGATGTTTTCAGTCAGACGTGCTTCCCTGTGCTGCTATTTTACACTTGAAATTGCATTCTGCACAGGCAGAACTCACTGATCCACCCAAAGTCAGCATTCTCATAACCACAAAGTGAAGAGCAACTGAGAAGGCAAAGCAAATTCTCTGCATTTCTTGTCTCTGAACTGCTGTTGTCTGTATGAACCCAGAAGACAAGATATGTAACTCTGCTTTCAGCTATCAGATCTTAGATCTGCAAAGTTTAAAACAAATACAGCCAATAGCTCCTGTAAGTCCCAGCATCTCATGTAAGCATCGTCC